ACGGGTTCTGCAAACCACGTTGCGGGTGGGTGGGTGGGATGCCTGCAAGAACATGCAATGCGTCAGCCCGTCTGTAAAAATCGATTCTCCGTTCTAAAAGAAAATATATTCTACCCCCCCCCGCGTTATCGGGGCCCCTTTCGGGCATGTAAATCACATATGATTATAACCACATGTCCATCCTAAATATGAAATCACAATGTCCCATGCCAACCGGCATCCCCCCCCTGAGGTTCCCTTGCGGAAAAAAAAAAAAACATTATGCGGTCACATTTGTTGTTCGAACATAGCACTTTGCCACGAATCCCTTGCAAACAACGGGACGAACTGCACACGCGCGCGTCGTCGCGCGCGCATGCCGAAATCCTTCAAAAACTCTCGATGCCGGAAGGATGTCCGAAACTCCCTTCCAAAAACATACAAAAACACAGGGTTTCGTAACACTGATTTGCTAAAAAAGCTTACGCGCGAGCTCTTGGTGAAAAAACATAGGTTGTTTTCAAGATTTTCACAACATGCTACTAAACGGGTGTCGCGCGCGCGCATGTCGAAATCTGTCGAACGCCTTTGCGCGTGTGCCGTCGCGAGAATCCCTTGCAAAAAAACGGGACGAAGTGCAGACGCGCGCGTCGTCGCGCCCGTACGACGAAATCCTTCAAAACCCATCGGTTTCGGAAGGATTTCAAAACCGCGCGTCCAAAAAACATACAAAAACACAAGGTTTCGCAGCACGGATGTTCAACAAAAGCGTGCGCGCGCGCTCTTGCAGCGTCGTCGTCGTCGTCGTCGTCGTCGCCGTCCTCCCTCTTCCCGCATCGTCGTCGTCGTCGCCTACGTCGTCCTGTGTCTTTCCTCGTGTTCGTCGTCGTCGTCCTCTTTGGCGTCGTGGTCGTTTCCGTCGTCGTTGTCGCCTTGGTCGTCCTTCCTCCTCCTCCCTCGTCGTCGTCGTCGTCGTCCGTCGTCGGCGTCTCGTCGTCGTCCCTCCTATTTCGTCGCCGTCGTCGTCGTCGTCGTTGTCGTCGTCGTCTCGTCGTCGTCTCCCCTCCTCCCTCGTCGTTGTCGTCGTCGGCGTCGCCGTCCTTCCTCCTTCTTCGCCGTTCGCGTCCTCGCCGTCCTCCCTCCTCCCTTGTTGTCGTCGTTGTCGTCGTTGTCGTCGTTGTCGCCGTCGTCGTCCTCCCTCCTCCCTCGTCGTCGTCTTCGTTGGCGACGTCGTTGTCGTCTTCGTCGTCGTCGGCGTCGGCGTCGTCGTCTTCGTCGTCGTCGTCGACGTCGGCGTCGTCGTCGTCGCCGCCGTCGTCGTCGTCGTCGTCGTCGTCGTCGGCCGTCTTGCTTCTCCAGCCTTCTTGGGGCGCTCTTGAGACGCCCCCGAGGGCTCCAAGACGACCCCGGAGCGATATCTGTGCTCGGTCCCATTTGCGGGTGGGTGGGTGGGATGATTGCGCGAGCAGTGGAGTTGACAATTTCAAGCTCGGCAAGTGATTAATTCTCCTTTCTAAAAAAAGAATAGACTCTACCCCCCCCCCCCCGGATTTAACGCGTCCCCCTGGGATAGTATAATTTCATATATATATATATACATACATATATATATACATACATTCTGCACACTCGTCCATCTTAAATATGAAATCATATCATCCCAGCTAGGCCGGTTCCCCCCCCCTTGAGGTTCCCTTGCAAAAAACACTATGCGGTGACATTTGTTGCTCTAACATAACACTTGTTCGCGAATCCCTTGCAAAAAATATGACGAAGTGCACACGCGCGCGTCGTCGCGCGCGCATGCCGAAATCCTTCAAAAACCCTCGGTGCTGAAAGGATTTCGCAATCGAGTTTCCAAAAATCATACAAAAACATCGGGTTTCGCAACACAGAGTTGCTAACAAAAACTTCCGCGAGAGCTCTTGCGAAATCTTAAGAAAACGAAAACCATAGGTTTTTCTAGATTTTCACGAAATGCTACCAAACGGGCTTCGCGCGCGCTCATGTCGAAATCAGTCGAACGCCCTTGCGCGTGTGCCGTCGCGAGAATCCCCTGCAAAAAACGGGACGAAGTGCAGACGCGCGCGTCGTCGCGCGCGTACGCCGAAAACCTTCAAAACCCATCGGTTTCAGAAGGATTTCAAAATCGTGTGCCCAAAAAACCTACAAAAACACAAGGTTTCGCAACACGGATGTTCAACAAAAGCGTGCGCGCGCGCTCTTGCAGCGTCGTCGTCGTCGTCGTCGCCGTCCTCCCTCCTCCCGCGTCGTTGTCGTCGTCGTCGTCGCCTACGTCGTCCTGTGTCTTTCCTCGTGTTCGTCGTCGTCGTCCTCTTTGGCGTCGTGGTCGTTTCCGTCGTCGTTGTCGCCGTGGTCGTCCTTCCTCCTCCTCCCTCGTCGTCGTCGTCGTCCGTCGTCGGCGTCTCGTCGTCGTCCCTCCTATTTCGTCGCCGTCGTCGTCGTCGTCGTCGTTGTCGTCGTCGTCGTCTTCCCTCCTCCCTCGTCGTTGCGTCGTCGGCGTCGCCGTCCTTCCTCCTTCTTCGCCGTTCGCGTCGTCGCCGTCCTCCCTCCTCCCTTGTTGTCGTCGTTGTCGCCGTCGTCGTCCTCCCTCCTTCCTCGTTGTCTTCGTTGGCGACGTCGTGTCGTCTTCGTCGTCGTCGGCGTCGGCGTCGTTGTCGTCTTCGTCGTCGTCGACGTCGGCGTCGTCGTCGTCGCCGCCGTCGTCGTCGTCGTCGTCGTCGTCGTCGGCGTCGTTGACGTCGTCGTCGTCGTCGGTGTCGTCGTTATCGTCGTCGTCGGCGTCGTCATCGTCGTCGTCGTTGTCATCGTCGTCGTCGTCGGCGTCGGTGTCGTCGTCGTCGTCGGTGTCGTCGTCGTCGTCGTTGTCGGCGTCGTCGAAATCGTTGGAGACGTCGTCGGTGTCGTCGTAGTCGTTGTCGGCGGCGTCGTCATCGTCGTTGTCGCTGTCGTCGTCGGCGTCGCTGTTGTTGCCAAGTGCCATGTGGTACCCACCGTCACGGTCTTAAGAGATTTTGCAAACCAAGTTGCGGGTGGGTGGGTGGGATGTTTGCGCGAGCAGTGGAGTGGACAGCTTCAAGACGGTCAAGATTAATTGCACATCATAGATTGTACCTCGTCGATTCTCCGCTCTACAACACCATTAAGATTTACCCCCCTCCCCCCCCTCGGTTTTAACCGTTCCTTTTTCGTATTGAAATTTGCATACGATTCTGCCCCATTGCCCATCCGAGACAAAAATCGCACAACCCCAGCCAAGCCGGCAACGGTTCCCCCCCTCATCCTTCCCGGAAAAATACTAGCGCGCACTTTCGTTTATTAATAATCATCAGTTTCAACCGTCCCCTGCAACAGATGGGACGAAGTGCCCGCGAGCGCGTCGTCGCGCGCGCATGCCAGAATGCTTTGGGTTTCTTACGCATTTCAAAGCCGAGTACCCCGAAAATATATACACTCAAACGATGTTGCAACATCCGTTTTCAAACACAAATGCGCGGTTTTGCGAATTCTTTTAAAGCCCATTGGTTCTACAACGTTGTCATCAAATTTTTCAAACGGGCCTCTCGCGCGGCACTTCGAACAAATCCGAACGCCCTTGCGCGCTTGCTGGGTGGGGGGCGGCACGATTCGTGTCAAATAGTACCACGCGGGCCACTCTCGCGCGTCGGCCGCGCGCGCATGTCGAACTTCCAAAACCTTCATCACCGACGCGAGGACATCGTCATCATCATCGGCGGGCGTGATCAGCATCGGCGACGTCGTTGGCCTCGCCGTCGTTATCGCCACCATCGTCACCATCATTGCTACTCTTATCATAATGACTACCGTTGCCGGCGTCGCCATGATACCATGCCCGCCCAAGTCACCGACTCGCATTGAAGTGCCCGTTGGGAAGTGCCGAGCGGTCAGCGCCACCACGGCCGCGTCGGTCGCGCCGCACTAGCTGGCCGCTGCGCGCGCGGGCATGCGCGTGCTGGCGCGGCCGCAGAGATGCACAGCCAATGCCAAACAAACAGTCATCGCAAGCGCTGCCGCATGCGTTTTGTAAGCCAAGTTGCGGGTGGGTGGGTGGGATGATTCGGCGAGCAGTGGGTTTGACAACTCACCGCGAGCATTGGATTGCACCGCAAAGACTGCACCACGCAGATAGCACCACACTGGTTGCACCACGTCGATTGTACCACATAGATTGCCCACCACAAAGACTTCACCACATACACATTGCACCAAGCACACACAGTGCACAGCATTGTATGTACAACATAGATCGCACTACATCTATTGCACCAGATGGATTGTACCAGGTGGGTTGCACCACATATATGTTTCCACGAATGCTGCATAAATTAGATTGCACCGCGTACATTGCACAATGTAGATTGCACCACGCAGTTTGCACCACATGAATGGCTACACGTATGTTGGACAACATGTCGATTGCTAGAAACATGCTGTTTGGTGCCCACGGTGGCGAACACTCGTTTTTTATTTGGTTCTGAGAACGTCGATACGACCCCCACTTGGCCAACTCGATTCGCAAACTGGCCTGTCTTGGTCCTCGAGAAGGCGTTGCGGGCGCCAGCTGTGCGGGCCTGCGCCCGATGTGTGTGGCCCCAGGCCGTTTTCACCGAAGGGCTGTTTGCTGAAGGGAGTTCGTCCATCCCCGAAGGGGTGCCCAAAGTCACGCAGAGGCCTCCAGAGGTCCCTGGAGACTTCCGGCTGCCAAAGAGGAGCCGAAGGCGTCCAACAATTTCGATCCTCGATCTCCTCCTCCTCCTCCTTTTCCTCCTCCTCCTCCTCCTTTTCCTCCTCTTCCTCTCCTCCTCCTCCTCCTCCTTTTCCTCTTCCTCCTCCATGTTCCATCCTCCGTCCTCCATCCTCCCTCCTCCATTCATCACCCCCTTTTCCTCGTCCACCCTTCATCCCTCATCCTTCCTCCCGTCCATCCTCCTTCCATCCTGCCTCTCCCTCGTCGTCCTCTTGCTGGTGCCCCTCCCGAGGTCCAGGGCGCCCACTTAAAGGGCAAGGGCAAGGACGGCAAGGGCAGTTGGCCACAGCCCCCCCCCGCTGCCAGCTCCGCGCCTGGGGCGCAGACAAGCTGGATGGGCCTGAAGAGGACCGCGGAGCAGGCCGGCCTGAGAGGACTGTGAGGCCTCGTCCTCGTTATCCCCTCCCCCTTTTTCCTCCCCAGCCGCACGATGTGCTTCCCCGTTTCCTTCGTGTCCCCCCTTCCAGCCCTTCCCTCCTTTTCCCTCCGCCTTCTCTTCCTTGTCCTCCACTCGCTTTCCTCCTCTTCCTCCTTTCCCTTCGTCCCGTCCTCTCCCCTGCTCCGCATCTCCCTCCCTCGTACGTGGCTTCCTCATCCTCCCTGTCATCATCATCCGCAGCACCATCAGCATCAGCATCAGCTTCATGATCGTGCCTCTCTCATGGTCCCCTTCGCTGCGCCTCGGAGGTCCCGGCAGCTTCTCGGCCAGTGGGTGCCGGCGCGCGGCCCCGCGTCCGTTCGCGGCCGCCGCGGCGCGCGGCAGGGGGGCGAGATCCGGCGATCGCAGCGCAGGTGTTCCTGGCCCCTCTGTACGGTCGCCCGTCTTCTTCAAGCACGGCCCGCGCGGGTTCCTCTCGGACGGGGCGCGCGTCTGCGCCCTGGACGTCTTGAGCTTGCGTAGGGCACGACCAGCCGCCTCCAGCAGGCGGTCGATTTGAGCGGGGGTTCCGGTCCCCCGCTGCAGGTGATCGTTGCCGCCTCCCGGCGGCGGTCACCTGGGAGCCTGGCTATGTGAGCCGCGGCTCGTCGGGCTCCGCCTGCTGCCCTTCGCTCCCGGCGGAGCGGAGGGTGGCGGGTCGCCTCCGCCACCCTTTACTTGCAGGTTGGCTTGCCCGTTTTGCTGGGCGTTGCCGCGCGCCTCAGCGTTTCTTTGGCCTGCCAACAGAGGACAGTCGTTCGCTCGGGCGGCTGTGATTTGTGGGTATCATGTTGTAGGTTGATGACCAATGGTGCCTGCCTCTCTTCCGCTGCTGCTCAAATCCCCTCCTCCCTCTCCTGGACCCCCCCGCCCTGCACTCCAGGGCGGCGGAGGCTTTCATTCGAGGAAGACAAGGAGGATGAGCACGAAGAGCTCAAAAGCCATGTGTCGCATTAAGCATGCCGTGCGAAGGGACAACTTTATTGCAGCGACGCATCGCCCGCGACCTCCCGCCGAGCACGCCTCGCGCCCAGCGTCCGCCGCCCGCCACCAGCTCTCGGAGACAGCCCGCCGCCAGCCGCTCCAGAGACGACACGCTGCCGCGCGCGCAGAGTGCAAAGAGGCCACTGCACGGGCGCGAAGACAACTGTGTTCGGGATGGAGGAGTCGGAGTTTGTGGAACCTTCTTACTTCCGCTGCCCCTCCACTCCCTCCTCTTCCAGCGCCGCTTCGCCCTGGCTCAACTGCCCTGCCAGGTCGGCGGCCTCCGACCAAATTGTTTCGCGCGGGGCCTCCTCCGCCCATTCAGCTGGCGGACGTGGCGGGCCCTGGCAGTGTGTAGTTGGTTGGCATGCGCTGCTCCAGCGATGCTGCTACGGCACCGCAGGGAGAAGTTCGCACCGCTCTCTCAACTGCCGCCGTGGCTGACAAGCTTGGCACCCCGCCGCGGACCAGTCCAAGGGTCGCCCCGCCCTCACGCGCTGATTTCTGGTCCCCATCCAGGGTTGGAGCCGCCGTCACAGGAGGCGGCCGTTCCGCCCGATCCCTCGGTCGGGAAGTGCTGTTCCAGCGAGGCTGTTCTGGCCGCGCAGGGATCTGCGCGCACCGCCCACGGGAACGGAAGAGGGGTGGGAGCGACCCGGAATCGCCCCGCGCCGCGGCCTCGCGCGCGCGGCCCGGGGGCACGCGAACGCTTCCCGGCCGCTTCATCTGCGCCCGAGCGCGATCACGCCCAGCCAGCGAGCCGCGTTACGCGCGCAGTTGCGTCGAGCCGCGCCACCGCGGTCAGGCGCGTGGAACATCCGGCTCGCCTCGCCACCTGGAGCGGCGGGCGGGCGCTGCCGCTGTTCGACCCCCGCGCGGCCCCTGCTGCAGCGGGGCTTGTTCTGCACACCAGCGGTAATCTGCTGTGGGCCGCGCCCCCAGGGTCCGCGTCGTTTCTGCTCTTGCGGAGCTCCCCCCTCCGCCCCCGAGGGGTGTTCCTGCGAGCAGCGCTGCTTTCTCGAGCCCTCGCGATTGCTGCGGCCGCTCGGGTTGCGGGAGGATCGCCCCGCGCCCCTTCCGCCACCGCCCAGCTACGATGCAGTGATTGTTGCGCTGCATGCTGCAGTCGCGTCGGTGGCTCGCCCAGGCCATCGCGACCTGCTATGATCGCTCTGGGTATGGTGGGGGTCCCCCCGCGCCCCTGCCAGGTTCAGTTCCGGCGATTGCTGGTGCTACCTGGGGGGCCTCTGTTGCGCGCGCAGGGGCCCTTGTGAGCGGCGCGGCTCGCTCGTGCCATTGCGACCTGCCGCGGTCGCTCGAGGCGCGCGGGTGGCTTCCCGCGCCACCGCCTGCATTGGCTTCGGAGATGACGGAGGCTACATTTGGAACCCTCGCTGCAAGCGCGGGGTCTCTTGCGAGCGGCGTGACTCGTTCAAGCCATCGCGACCTGCCATAGTCTTTCTGGGCACGCGGGGACACCCCCGCCCCCCCGCCCAGCGTAGCTTCGGCGATGGCGGAGAGTGCCCCAGGAGAGTCTGCCGCGAACGCCTCTCTGGGCGGGGCAGTGGGGCCCGCTGCTCGCTCGTCTCCCTGGGTCGGGCCAGCCGCCGTCCGCCTGTTGCTCGCCGCCCCGCCTCCACCGCCCACCCAAACTTTGTCCACGCGGAGCCCCCATCGCTCGCCGTCTCAGGTCAAAAAGTGTCCTGCGTCGCGAGGTTAGACAATCAGACGGCCAGATTGTCTCGCGATGGATGTGGATTCGGATCCGGTTCCTTCTGAGTCACCGCCCCCCATCACGGAACCGCCCAGACGCCCGGGGGCGCAACGCGACTTACCCGCTGACGCTGTGTATGACATTCGCCAGGGCCTTCTTCTGGAAACGTACCTCGTCGCGGCAGTTGACCAATGATTCGGCGTTCTCAGCGCCCGGCTTTTGACCGACGAGGAGCGAGGGGGCCCAAGTCCAAAGGTATCTTGCGAGCGGCGCGCTTCGTTCAAGCCATCACGACCTGCCGCGGCCGGGCGCGCGGGGGCCACCCCGCGCCCCCGCCGGGCAAACTCTCGGCGATGGCGGAGGCTACCTTTAGAGATCCTGCTGCAAGTGCAGTGTATCATGCGAGGCGTGGCTCGCTCGAAACGTCGCGACCTGCCGCAGTCGTTCGGGGCGCGCGGGGGCCCGCCCGCGCCGCCGCCAAGCTAGGGCGCGACGATGGCGGAGGCTACCCCTGAAGCCCATCTGCCGCAAGCGCAGGGCGGCCACCTGCGACCGGCGCGGCTCGCCCAGACCATCGCGCGTCGCCGCGGCCGCCCAGGCGCCGCGGGAACCTTCGCGCGCCCCAGCCAGGTCTAGCCTCGGCGATGGCGGAGGCCACCCTGGGGGCACCTGCTGCAAGCGCAGGGCGCCCCGTGAGCGGCGTGGCTCAATCGAGCTATCGCGACCTGCCTCCTCGGAGCGCGCGGGGGCGCCCTCGCGCCCCCGCGCGCCCCCGCCTCGGCGCTGGCTGACGCCGCCGTCAACATGGCTGCCGCGCCCGTGGCTAGCCCAGCGCCATCAGCAGCGACCCTCGCCGCCGGCCCGCCCCCCACCCGTTCCCCCCCCCCCCCCAGGCCGCGCGCGCGCGCGGCGGAGGGGCCGCCTCTAGCTGCGTCTGCTCAGGCGGCGCGCGGAGCCTCCGGGGGCGCGGCGCCGCATCGGCCCCAGCCGTCGGGCATGTCAGCGCGGGCCCCCGCGCCTCCAGCGCGAGCCCCGGCACGGGCCGCGCCGCCTGCCCCCGGCCCGAGCGAGCCCCGGGCGCCCTTCCGACGAGGGCGGGGGCCGCGGTTCGAGCGCCACCGCCAGGCTTCGACGCCGGCGAGGGTCTCGACCCTTTCGAGGCGGCCGACGGGCAGGCCCCGCCGCGGCAGGGAAGCGGCGCGCAATCCACCCCACCGATCTGCGCCAGGGAGCCCCGCGCAGCGACGGCGGCCGCCGCGGCGGGCGGGGGCGCGCCCCGCGCTGGGGTCTCCGAGCGATCTCGCTCGGGCCATACTCGCCCCTTCGGGCGCGATCGCAGCGGGCCCGTCGGCGGCCGGCGCTGCGAGGCGCAACCCGCGGCATCAGATGTCGTTTCAGCGCGGCCTCGAGCGGCGCGCCATCGCGCGAGCGAGCCTGGCTCGGGCGCCGGGGGGCAAGGCGGACGCGCCGACGTCCTGACAGGTTCTTCCCGCGCCGCTACGGCCCCCCCTGCTTCGACCCGGGGCCCCTGCCTCTGACCTTGCTGGCCACCGTGGCCCTGCAGGGCGCGCCAGTGGCGGGCGCGCCCCTCCTCGCGGGGTTCGACGCCCAGCCGCCGCTCTCCTGCCGCGCCATCGGTCGCGCCGCTTGTCGCTGATACGTCCGCCTTGCTGCGCCTCGCCATTATTGCGTTCAACTGGCCCACCCTCAGCAAACCCGGCTTCGCCCCCACAGGAGCTCGACCGCGCGCGACGGCCTCGCATTGCCAGAAGGGCATGCGCAATCGCACCGAGCAGGCGCGTCGGCTCGCGTCGCCTTGCCCGCGGCGGCAAGCGCGACTCGGGCCGGGCTTTTACCGAGTTCGACCCCGCGGACGTCTCGCGCCAGGGCCCGGCGACCCACGCCGCAGCCGCGGAGAGTCTTCCTCTTCACCCCCCGGCGCCCCCGCCCCCGCGCGCGCTTGCCCGACCAGCGCCTTCACGGCATCTGGTTCGCTGGCCGACGCGGAGGGCCGGGCCCCGCCCCGCCTGAGTTCTTCGACTTCAAGATCAGGGCGTCGCGCGTGCAGCGGGATCATTCGCCGCCCTCCCACCCCCCCCCTTCCATCTGCCTGTCGCCGGGGCCCGCGAAGCCTTGCGCGACCCCGAGGTCGCGCGCCCCGCGTCGGCGCACTGGCCCGCGGGCCTGCGGGGGGCGCGAGCCCGCGTAGACCGCGCCGAGCCGCGGGGGCGCCCTCGGAAGGGAGGCCCCCGCGGCGCCCTGCATC